GCAGGGCCAGGAGAGCCCCCTCGGAGCTGCAGCTGCCCCGCTCCCCACGGACAGAATCTACACAGTTCTGAAGGGGTATCTGGTCAGTGCCCGGGCCTCAGACCCTGCACCGGGCCTGCCCGCTCCCCACTCAACGAAGGGCTGAGGCAAGGACAGGGGCACAGAGCCACGGCGGGAGCTCTTGGCGTTGGGGTTTGTCGCAGGAGGCCCAGCGGCAGACCCCAGTGCCGAGTGTTCCAGAAAGCCTCTGTCCTCTCCGGGCCATGGAGCCTCACTAAGGGAGGGGCTGAGGCCACGGGGTCCCACTGAGGCCCGCCTGGCACTGCCAGCAGCAGCTTGCCCAGCCCGGCTGTCTCCTCGGACCGGCCCTCCGGGAGCCGGGAGGGAACCGCCAGCCCTTTCTCTGGGTCTGTCCCTGGGCAGTCGGGCCTTGAGTGCACTGCGGGCAACCCTGGCACACTCGCTGGGCACACTCAGGGCACCCGGGCCCTTGGCACTCACTGGGCACGGCCTTCTCGTAGCAGACGCTTTTGTAGTAGCAGCAGCCAAGGTCCTTGCAGCGGTCCCGGGAGACATTGTAGTCGCAAATGTCATAGAGCGGGATGTCACACACTGCAAGCACACAGGGCGTCAGCAGCTCGGTCAGCGGCCAGAGCCCCGAGGAGCCTGCAGGAAGCAGAAGCGCCCTCCCTCCCTCTGCACCCTATCAGGAGCAAACTCGCTTTCTGGTGAGATGCCTGGGGTCTGGGCACGGAACCAGGGGGCCGGTGGGGGAAGGGGAGTCAGGTGCCATCTCCCAGCCAGTCCCCTGAGGAGTCACAGTGGGTACGGGGTTCTCAGGGGACAGGGTGTGGGAACCTGAGGGGACAGTGGGCGTGGGGGCCTGAGGGGACAGTGGCGCGCCAGCTCTCCCTTTCTCCCACCTGCTCATCAGGGTCAGGGGCCCTTCCACAGAGACAGGAGAGATGGGGCAGCTGGCCCAGCCCTCTGGGGTTTCTCCTGAGCTCAGTGAGGAGACTTCTACGGTGCTGGCTGGCCTCTACTGAAGGGGCCTTCTCGGTCCAAACATACCCATGGCCTCTCATACACGCACACATTCACACCAACACACTCACAGTACACTCACATGTACACGCACATCACACGCGTGCACTCATGCCAAACATACATATACACACCTACTCAACACTCACTTTCACACACTAACACACCCCCACTAATATTCTCACACTCACACGCACTCACACCTAACTCATTCACTCAGACCACACATACACACATCCTCCCCCCATACTCACACAGCCTCACCACGCACACACCCCAGTCACACTCACCACTGCCACACCCACATCACACTCTCACCCATGTCATACTTTCACGTACCCAGTTTTATTTATTGAATCACCGTGAGAGCAGCCACAAAGCCTTTCAGTTTAAGTCTCAGTCGGTCATACAATGATCGAACACCCGTTCCTTCACCAGTGCACACTTTCCAGCACCAAGAACCCCAGTATACCCCCCCCCCCCCCCGCCTAGGTGGCAGATTTCCACTTGACTCTCTCTCTACGCTGATCACATTCAATATTACGACAAAAAACCCGACATAATTATTTGGAATTTCCCCCAACATTCAGACCTGCCAAAAAGACATCATTAGGCAATTTGTTTCCTACTGCTGATCATGAAGTGTATGATGTCTTGTGGCCGCAACAGCAGCCACGCAAATTTGGATTTCTGGCATTTCAGTAATAAGCCTGGAGGGATTACTGCCAGAAGCCCCTGGGTTCTGAGATTGGTCTGTGTGCCTCTGGGATCAGGGTCGTTCAGGAGCCGGAGGCGGCGTTTGTGGGTGGCTACCCGGGGCCTTGTCATGGTGGGGAGCAGGGCCGATTCCACCCCCCGTCCCAAGGGGCCCCACGTGCTTCGTCAATGCAGCCTCATACCTGGCTGGTCACGAGGCTCTAAAAGATGGAGGCCACCACGCCCGCCACTGCAGGGGGGCACAGGCGGAGGGACAAACAACCTTCCCCTCCCAGGGCAGCATAGCACTCTCACTGTCACTGTCCTCCCGCTGTTCATCGATTTGCTCGAGCGGGCCCAGTAACGTCTCCACTGTGAGACTTGTTGTTACTGTGTCGGGCATATCGAGTACGCCACGGGGAGCTTGCCAGGCTCTGCCGTGCGGGCGAGATACTCTCGGTAGCTTGCCGGGCTCCCCGAGAGGGGCGGAGGAATCGAACTCGGGTCCGCCATGTTGGCTGCGTGCAAGGCAAACGCCCTACCGCTGTGCTATCGCTCCAGCCCAGGGCAGCATAGCACTGTAGTTATGTGCAAAGTCCAGATGCGTTTCGGTTGGGCATCCTATTTTGCTCAGATTTTCCCACCACCATTCAAGCCCGCCTTCCAGGGACAAATGCTAGATCATTTACTTTCCAGTGATCACTTTGCATATCGGAAATTCCACACGGCCACACAAGTGGCTGTGCGGTTCGGAAGAATAGTCCTGGTACCCGCATACCGGGACCATGCTTGTAGAAGCCCATGGTCGCCGGGATTCCATCTGGAGAAGGCGGGGAGACGGCACCTACCCCATCTGGGACCTCCCGGTGATATCAGCTCAGTATGGGGCCCGAAGAATTCTCCGGAAGTTGTGGAGCCCGCCGACCAGTTTTCTTCACTGCTGTGTGCTGTAAGATGGCTCTGGGGGTGGGTTGTGGGCGTGACTTCCGGGGCTGACTGGGAACCAGGGCAGAGCTGCTTGGCCTGGCGTCCCCATGACACGTCACTCTTAATACCCACACCATACTCACACCCACATCACTCTCACCCACACCACTCACACCCTCCCCACACTCACACACCCACTCATACCCACATCACTCACACCCTCACCACTCACACCAGTTACACCCTCACATCACACTCACACACACTCTCACCACACACCATACTTACTCTCCCCTATACATATACCCACACCACTCACACATCCAGACTCACAAACCGACCACACCCACACCACACACCCTCACTACAGACACCCTCACCACACTCTCCTACGCCGACATCACACACACTCACACATCCACTCTCACACCCGCACAACGCTACGTCACACCCACTCTCACCCGCCACACCTCAGGCTCCTCTGTCCTTACCCGCAAATTTCCTCAGGATCTGTGCGGGGGACTTCTTGAACTCCGGCTCATACTTCATGCTGGGGCGCCTGCTGGGCAGCAGAGGGCGCGGTGAGGTGGGCATGGGGGTCCCGGGGCCGCGGGGTTGTGACGGGCGTCCCGAGGCTCACCTGCCAAGCATGTGCCCGCTGAGCCCTCAGGCAGACACACCACAGGGTCCAGCAGACACGGTCACTTCGACCGCAGCTTGTGGCAGTGCGGGGTCAGGCCGTGCGTGCCCTTGGCCTTCTGTGAGGTCACACAGCAGTGTGAGGTCACACAGGGGGGCCGGCGCCAAGCCAGGGGAGGCCCCAAGGCAGCCGCGCCTGAGGAGCACGTGGGGCTGGGTGTGCAGGGAGCACGGAGCAGCCGAGGTGGAGTGCCCGAGGCCCAGGCAGGCTCGGGGCTGCGGGCGGGAGGGCCGGCAGAGCCGCGGCAGTGACCCAAACCTCTGTTTGGGAGGAGGTGCCCGATTTGGGGCTCCCTACCTTGACACAGCCACTCCCAGGCTCACCGCCGTGGGTGACAACCTCAGCCCCACCCTCAGGGCCGAGTTCCTGAGGGCCCAGGCGGGACCCTCTGGCCCAGGACAAGCTCAGCCACCACGAGGCACCGCGGGAGGGGACCGAGGGGAGGACCCTGCAGCAGAGCGGGTGCTGGAAAGGCGTGAGGACACGCCCAGGGAGGCGGAGCCAGGGCCCAGCTGAGCTGGACCACAGGGGACAGGCACCGGGGGCAGGGCTGGGGCCAGCTGAGCAGGACGCGGGAGAAAGGGGTGGCAGCTCTGGCCAACACCACTGGGGGCTGGGTGAAGGAGACGCGGGACGGGTGGGGTGTGCCACAGGCGGCCCCCTTGGGCACTGCGCCCACCTTTAGCAGATGCCCCTACTCACACCCACGTGGAAGCTGCAAAGACCCCACTGCCCGCTGGGCACCCGGCTCAGCAGGAAGTTGGAGGGTCCGAGCTGCAGACACAGTCGCAGGCTCGTCTGGCGGTGCCCAGGCAGGAGTCGCCTTGTGTCCCCCCAGGCTGTGGCCTTGCTCCCCCTTCCCCCATCCCGTCCTCAGCCCCAAACCTCACGCAGTGCCGAAGGGGCCAAGTCCCCGTGAGCACGCAGCCGGAGGGGCCACCAAGGCGCTGCCTGGGCCTGTCAGGCCACGGCTCAGAGCCCCGGGGGGTGCCCTGGACGGGGGCGTAAGAGACCCACTCACATCCCACACCCAGGGGCCCTGAAAAGCGAGTGGGCAGAGAGTGTTCCGGTGCCCGCCATGGCTCCCGGAGGGGCCATTCCCACCTCACACGCGGGGTCAGATGGGGCTCCCCCACGGGAGTGTGGAGCTCTCAGACGCTGAGAAGCAGCTGGCCTGGGAGGTCGTGAGCACAGGCCCCCCAGCGTGGGCAGGTGGTACCTGAGCTGCCATCTCGGAGCAGGGACGGCCGCTGGCCGAGACCTGGAGGACCCATTCAGTCTGCTTCTCCCTGGCCGCTAGCTCCCCACAGGCCCTGGGCTCCGGCCCACATGGGCACCCCACTCCCGACACGGACCTCACGCTCGCCAGGGTCATGCTGGCTGAAGCGCCTCTTCTCAGTAGGGCGAGGCCCAGGCCGCACCCCAGGGGGAAACCGAGGAGGATGGGCCCAGGGACTCACAGAGGCGCTTTCCTGAGGGCCCCCAGGCACGTGCCACGCAGGGCCTGTTCCCCCCGGCCACCTGCGCGGGCTGGCCGTGGTGTGCAGCCACTGGGCCCGGCTGTGGGCCGCGGGGCTCGAGCGGGTCCGAGCAGGGACGCACTCAGAAGCGGGTTTAGCAGAAACACAATCCGTGATATTTATAAAGGTTCATAAAAGTGGGGAGGGGGCTGGGCAGGATGAGGTATGTGGGCGCTGGTGCCGGCGGCTCCACCTCGGGACCGCGTGGCTGAGGCGCTGCGGGGAGGGGTCCCGCTGCGCGGCCCGGGGCCCTCAGAGGTTGGTCTCGTCCCACGCGGGGTCGCTCACGGTCTTCAGCACCTTCCGCACCAGCTTCTCCAGGTCCTTGCGGGCCCGCTGCTCCTCCTCCAAGCACTTCCTCATCTTCTTGTTGTCCTGAGGAGTGCGGGAGTGTTGCCGCGTGGCCATCACGGGGAACAGGCCACGGTCCGGCCCGCCGGGAGTTGGCCCCGGGTCCCCCACGGCCCACCTCAGCCAGGCCGGCCGCACGGGGCCGTGCAGCAGGCACCCACCTGTCTCAGCTCCTGGACCTCGTCCCTCAGCGCGTACACCGTGTCCACCAGGCTCCTGGAACGCACACAGGGCTCAGGGCTGTGCCCGTGCAGGGAGCCGCCCGCCTCCCGGGGCCCGTGCCGAGGCCGGCCAAGGCTTACTTTTCCTCCATCACTGTCTGCCCGTTGCTCTTGATCTCCTCGATGATGATCTTCTCCTCCTCCGGGAGCAGAACCTGAGGCGCGGACTCCTTGCGCGAGCCTGACAAGACACATGCCACAGGGTGAGGGGCGGCCGAGACGCGGAGACTCAGACCACAGCAGCCAGACCGCCACCTTCCTGCCCTGCCGCTTCCCAAAGACGCACCCCCATCTCTCTGGGGACCCCGACCACCCAGACGCCAAGCTTGGCGGGATCTACGGCGCCCCAGGCCAAGTGCAGCTTCTCCAAGACTAAGACCAACGTGCCCGGGGCGGAAACTCCGTCAGCATTGGCTCCCACCGCCCTTCCCACTCCCCGCGGGACGCCCCTCCGTCTTTACAGAGCAGCAGAGACGCATGCTGGGCTGCCACGAGGGCAGCCCTCATCTGATCCCAGAGCACAAAGCGCTTCCGGCGGCCCCGGGGGAGGAGCTGAGCGCGACTGCACAGCCCCCTGTCCCTCTACAGCTGGGCCCAGGTGATGCCGCCACCCATCTTGGCGGAACCTCAAGGCGACGCACAGTACAGCCCCCAAGTCCCCCGGCTCACCACACCACCCCGGGGCTGGACACGGGGGGAGGGCAGCCTCTCGGGATGCGCACCGTGGGGTGCAGGGGGGTCCCAGCCCCCCTGAGATGGGCGCAGACGCGGGCTCCGGGCCGTGACCCTCCACCGGAGTGTGGGGTCAGCAAAGGCCCTGCCCAGCAGCTGGGCAGATGAGGAGCTGCTGCAGACTCACTGCCCAGCAAGCTGACAGCCCTCATCAGAGCTGAGACTGCAGGCCAGGAGCGCTGGGCACGGGGCCACCGATATAGCCTGTGCCAGTGGGCAGAGGTGCCGGCGAGGGCAGCGCAGCGGCGGGCCCTGAGGCGGCCTGGCTCTCACCGACAACCGAAACCTCCTGGCCAAGTGGCCCCGGAGTGCGGTGAGACCGGACTCTCCAGAGGGCGCCCAGACGATCCAGGGCAGCTCTGGAAGCCCCTTGCTTGGCTCTGGCAGCTAAGGGCAAGGAGGAGACTCTGGAGGCTCCCACATCTGTCCCCAGACTTGGTGCAAAGCACCCAGCACACTGACCAGGGGTCCGTACTCACTCGGGGAGCTGAGGGGCACGGGACTGGCCCCAGGCAGCCACAGCAGAACCCAGGAGGGTCTGGGCAGGGCCACAGAGTCGTTAGTCGGCCCTGCTCCAACGCCTCGCTCCCTCGTGGTGCCAGCCCTGCAGCCCCCATGGCTGTCACCGGACAGAGGGTCTCATTGGAGGACAGCAGTGCAGGGACAAAGGTCCACCCTGGCCAGCCCTGCCCGCAAGGACCCTGCCTCTTCCTAGTGCACCAGGCAGGTTCTAAGGAGAAAACCAACGAACACCCAACAGAACACAAAGGTAGAATTTTCCTCATCTATCCTTTCTCCCGCGTGTGCACGCACACGTGCACACACACACACACACACACACACACACACACACACACACCCCTTTCCTTTCCAAAGAAAACCCCCAGAGAGTGAACTTGCTCAAGGATCAAGAGGGACAACCTGCCTCCCCTCAGTGCCACAGGTGTGCCTGAACCACCTCAAAGGTGCCACCGTGCCACGAGGCCACAGCCAGCGCCAGGTGACAGGAGCTGCCACCAGGCCCCACCCCCCGGGAACAAATATGGAAAGCCACGGGCTAGCAAATGCAAAATTTATTTCAACTGTACATAACAGATGTCGTTGATATAAAACAGACACGTGGGGGCCCTGTGTGGGCACGGAGTGGAATGTGCGGATACTGTACACACAGCAGGCAGTCCAGCCAGGCCACACGGCAGACAGCACACCCGGGGCCGGGCCTGGGGACGCCGGCCGCTTATGCACAACACACACTGGATAGCGCCCGCGGCCAGTGTGCCCGAGGGCGGTGTCCACCTACCTTCTAGACCCGTCTTCGTCCCATCAGACACTAACTGTGCACAGAGTGCAAGGCGCCGGCTCCCGTCCCAGCCTCTGGCTCGCTCGCATGCTGTGGCCCTACGCTGCGCCCCGGCCCGGACAGACCGACCAACACGCCACCCTCGTCTCCAAGTCAGGAGTAGTCACAGACCCCGGGCACGTGGGCACGTGGGCATGCAGGGTCGTGCTGTGGCAGGGCCGGAGCGGAGCGCCCAGACTGCCCCGGGCACCCTGGGACCGTCCCCTACCGGGGAGGGGGCAGCAGGGCCTGCGCGAGCCCTGGAGCCCGGCTCGGGCCAGCGGGCCGGGACCCCCTCGGCGCCCCCACGGCCAGGAGACAGCGGCCCCGCCACACACAGGCGCAGCCCGCGCCCACCGGGAGTTCTCTATAGCACCTCTGGGCTTGTGCCAGGCCCAGCTCCCAGGAACAAAGGCGGAGGCAGCGCTGTGTCCGGGCAAACCAGGCGGGGACACGGAGGCCCTGGGAGAGTCCCGCCCTGGGGAGAGAGACAAGGTTATTCCCGACCCGTCACGGCCAGAGCTGCTCCGGACGCGGGCCCTGACCGCTGTCCTGGAGGGCGGTCCTTCCGGGAGCAGACGGTGTCTGCGGGGCAGCGGGGCCCTCCAACACGGCCTGTGGCGGCCAGCGGCACAGACTCCAGCGACCCTGCCCCCGCGGGCCGGGCGACCGTGGGGCGAGTCTCCGGCGGACTCGACTCGGTCATCGGGTGCACACGCAGAGCTGCTGCGCACAGGCGGTCACTGCCGTGGCTGCCGGACACGGGCCGGCCAGGCCGGGACGAGCCAAAGCAGCACCTCAGAGGACCCCGGCCCGCCGTGGGCAGCCATGAGGGGGGCCCTCTGCCCCGGGCCGGGCGCTAACGAGCTCCGACCGTGAACACGTGGCCGGCCGCGGCCCCCCTCCCCGGGGCCCACGGCCAGTCTGCATCTGCATCCACACTCAGAGCGGCGGGGGGCCTCCGGGGGACAGCGGGAAGACCGGACACGCTCGCCCGGCAGTTAAAGTACGACACGAGAGAGACGAGAGAGCGAGAGGGCGCCTAGGAGAAGCGGGCCTGCGGCGAGGGGGTGCAGCGTTAGTTCTGGTGAGAGATATAGGAGCAACAGCTCTTACGAGATGCAGAACCCATCCTGTAACTATGGGCTGTCCAAATACTGTCATAGTCAGAGTCTTCCGAGAGGTCTGAGGGCTCCAGGCGGGAAAGGCTACTGCGGCGCCCCGCCGAGTCTAGGCTGGGCTGCTCGTCGTCAGCCAAGACGTGGTTATGCATCAGGTCAGTGCCTTGCCATGCTAAGACGGGCGGGGACAGGCGGACAGGCAGAGGGGCAGAGGAGACGGACAGGAAGAGCCACAACCAAAAACATGGAAACAAAAGCAAAAGGTGAGGGGAGAGAGGAAGAGAGAAAATATGGTTAAACACGGCAACAACGTCATTTCTGCTCATTTCCGGCTGCTTCCATCCTCGACCACCCTCAAGCCAAAGCCGGGCCCTGGGTGGAGGTGTCCCGCCCACTGCTCCGGCAGGCCGGCCCTGCACACGCCAACGCACGCCGGAGTCCCGAGGCTCCGACCCCCTCCTGCAGCTGAGTCAGAGTGGAAAACGCTGCCCAGGGCACGGGGGTCTCAACTTACCTGGCACACACCCCACTGTAATCGAGGGTCCGCCGGTGGCACTGCCCCCCCGCCCCTTAGCAGAGGCCCCTGGGAGAGGTCGGGGCCGTCCTACCCCTTCCCTGCACTGCTGTGGGCAACCCCCCGCCCAGACGGGGTGTGAGCACTGAGGGACAGAAAGGTGGGCACGAACCGGATGCACAGCAAAAAGGCATGAGCTGGCCGGGCACGGGCACATGCAGGCTGGCGCGAGCTGGGGCCAGCACCCACGTGGTGCGGAGCCACGGGCCCTGGGCACGGGCCATGCACAGCTCCCAGGCCTGCCTGGCGGCAGCACGGCCACGCACAGAGAGGAGCAGCGGCGGGCACCTGCAGGCAGCAGCCAGAGCACAGCCCGGGAGAGAGGGCAGCGCCCAGGACGGCGCAGAGCAGCCGCCCCGCGTCCAAGCGCTCGACTCACTGCACGAGGCCCGCTCTAAGGCTCAACACCTCAACCCGCTGTGGGGCGGCGCCGCGCGGCCGACTCCTCAGCCTCCCCGCACGGGGCCGGGGACCTTCCCCGGTGCGCGGGGCCACGGTGGCGGCCCCTCGCGGCGGCTTCCTACATGGGCCCACAGCCGGCAGGGGCAAGAGTCGGGGTCCTGGGGCCCAGCTGACCCCAGAGGGGGCTGGCCTGGCTGCAGAGCTGCTGTCAACTCAGACAAAGCCAAAGCAAAAGCAGCTGAAAGTCCTCGTCGCACCTTTTTCCAGCACTGGCTCTCACAGGCCTGACACTGAAGCACTGTTCCACAGGAGCGGGGAAGAAGAGGAAGGCAAGGCGCCGCGGTCAGGGGGGGCAGGCGCCCCGCTCTCAGCCCCCCACCCGCTGGGGCACGGGGCCCACGCCCGAACGCAGAGTCGGCCGCGCCGGCCTTGCCTTCCAGACTTCTCGCCTCAGAAGCCGGCAAGTCCAGTGCAGAAATGGCCCGTGGACGGGGATCCAAACGCAATCTCGGAAGGCGCGGGAGGCCTCGCGCGGGGCCTGCCGCGGCAGCCCCTGGAAGCTGCACAAACACGGGTGTGTCCCGCCCTTCACCAGCCGGCCCACGAGCCTCTCTCTCGACCCTGCTCCACGCACAAGCAAGCTCCCCCTCGGGCGCCCCCGGGCCCGGCCCGCCCGCCCGCGCCCCCCGAGCACCATGCAGGGCGATGCCCGCGCGGCCGCTCGCCCCGTGACACTCACTGGAGTTGAGCGTCTGCCGTGTCTTGGCGCTGGTGCAGTAAGCCTCGATGACCTTCAGGATCTGCGCGTCCTCCTCCAGCGCGGCCGTGCCTGTGGGGAGCGCCTGGCGTCAGGACCCCACGAGGGCGCTGGCGAGGGGGACCTAGGCCCTCCTGAGCGGGAGAGCGCTCCCCCCAGCACCCCCCAGCACCCCCCAGACACAGCCGCAGCTCCGCAAGGGGTCGCGACGCCCGGCCACACCAAAGGGGCGCCACGCACCCGCCCGTCAGAAGTGGGAACGCGAAGCGAGTCCCTCACTGCGCCCGGCACAGGCCCAGACGCCCCAAGTCCCCCTTCCTCAGGCCCTCGGCCCCGCGAGCCACTCGTGTGCCCCAGAGTGACGTCAGCGGGAACTGCACACTTCCACGAAGGCCTGCCAGACTCGGTAGGAGAGGCCAAGGCCTGAAGCCCACCCCACTCTGGCAGCCGGGCAAGCCCCACTCGGGGCGTTCAGTGCCGGTCCCTTCGGCTTGGTCGCACCTCAGCACTGCCCCGTCAGTCACACCCTCACTCCACCCACCTCAGCACTGCCCCCTCCGCCCCCACCCGCCACTTCAGCACCCCACTGCCACACTGACGCCTGCAGGTGCTTGCGATTCCCGGCTCCGGGGGTCCTGACCCTCCTGGCAGCCAGCACCCAGGGAGCCACCCCCAGTGGTATGTCTGCAAGGAGGGCTCAGCACCCCAACACCCCCTGGCAGGCCGCTGAGACGGTGGCAGCCACTGCCCACACCCCCAGTGCCTGACTGACAGGTGCAAAAGAGCACACACCCGAGGGAGTGGCCGCACAGCAGCCAGGAGACGGGCCCCCCAGGTGCACGTCACCGCTGCACCCGAGTCACACTGCTCTGTGCTCCACACTGTCCCCAGACCAAGGCCGGGATCCTGAAGAGGCACCCCGCACGCCCCCCGGCTGAGCAAGCAAGGCAGGACACTGGGCAACGGAGGACGCGGGCGCCTGGCCGTCCGCCTCCGCAACCCCCTAGTGACACCAGGGACAGCACGGGGGTGCCAGTGCTCTAGACACAGCTGCACAATCCAGCAGGGGTCAGCCAGCACACACAGCACAGCACACACTACACACAGCACACACAGTCCATACGACACCCACAGCAGATACAGCACAGACCGTACACACAGCACACACAGCACAGCATACAACAGCACAGACGCTGCACACAGCGCACAGAGCACTCACAGGACACCCAGGACACAGCATGCAGAGTACACACGGCACATACAACACCCCCAGCACACAACACAGCACACCTACAGTACACACAACAGCACAGGAGGCGCCAGGGGCAGAGGCTGGCAGGGCCTTCAGACCCCTACACGGCCAGAGCAGCGCAGGTGTGGCCGGTGCCGCCCAGCACCCGGGCAGGCGCACCCCCTACTCACTCTTCCTCAGCGCGAACTCCTCGTCTGACGGCTTCCGCTCAGGCTTGCGTTTCGGCAGCAGCTTCTTCATGGTCTTGGGACTCTTGCTAAGGTCCTGCAGAGGCGACACCGACAGGCTACCAAGGGGGCCCATGCTCTGCCCCCAGACCCCACACGCACACGACGGCAGGCCCCGGCCCGAGCCCTGCCCCTCTCTGCCAACCCTGCACCACGTGGTGCCGGTCCAGCCGCACGCGCACACGCTATGTCCCCTAAAGGCGCGATCTGGGCGGGCCCAGCAAGATTGACATCCTGGAAACCACGCAACCGCGAGTCTCAGCCCAGAGCAAAGGACAATCGGCCAAGCCGCGCTCCCAAGGCGTCTCCACTCACACCCCCACAGGGCCCAAATCAGGGCGACTCTCACAGCCACACCACAGGCAGGATGGTGTCCACGCAGACGCACGCACACCAGCCTCTGAGGACACGCTGCTCCCGGCAGCTCTGCAGTGACAGGCGCACCCCCCCCCCCCCCACCCGGTGCCAGGAGGTTCCTGGGGACTTAGAGCCACCCGCAGCCCAGGGAGAAGAGTCGGTGCTCGTGACTGTGACTGTATCACTGCCTTAGGGTCGGACACTGTGTGTGTGTGTGTGTGTGCGCGCGCGCGCGCCCCTGGCCCTCAAAGTGTAAGTGGGGCCATGTTGGCGTGTGGCTGTCAGCGTCAGTCTGATTCTCTGACTGTCCGTGTGCATGTGTGGTTCAGAGCGGGCACGCGCGTGTCCCCCGGCCTCCATGGAAGGGTTCTGTGCGCGGGCCCCGGGGCCTGTGGCACCAAGCCTCCTGCCCCTGCCGCCCCCTTGCGTGGCCCGCACGCATGCCTCCCACATCCCCGGCCACGCCCCCGCCGCTCTGGCCCACATCCTCCTCTCCGGCAGCCCCGACACGAGCCCCGACACGGGCTGGAACCTGCAGGCCCGACGCAGCTGAGGGCTGGAGCTCGCGCAGCAGCCCCGGCACACCGGGCACACGAGGGGGGCGACGCGGCACCGTCCGCCTGGGCTCCCTGGGCGCCGCTGCAGCGGCCTCACCTCCTTGTAGCAGAGCGCGGCCGAGGGCCGGAGTGGGGGTGCGGGCCGCAGGCAGCTCAGGCTCCATGGCTTGGGGGTTTTCGGCGGCTCCAGGGGCCCCCAGTTGATGGTGGTGTGGGGGGTGCCGTGGTGGGAGGGGTGGGGCAGCGTGTGGTAGGCGGGCGCCAGCGGCACGGGCTTGCTGTCGGCGTGCTTGCTGGACGGGGTGACCGGGTGCGAGGGGAGCTGCCCGGGAGAGAGCGGAGACAGCACAGGTCAGGCTGTGGCCCAGACGCTGGGACAGACGAGGGTGCGCTCGGCCAGGGCTTGGCAACGCGACTCAGGACCGCTTCCTGGAGGACAGCAAGGGGTTGTTCCCGGGAGCCCGCGACCTGCCCAGCGCGGACAGCAACGAGAGAATCCACCATCTCGGCCCTGAGACGGCACCGAGCCCCACAGGCAGGGTCCCCGGGCAGGGGAGACGCCGACACAGGCTATGGCCACAGGGACACTTTGCGTGACCTCGTCCACGGAGGAAAGACGCCCTCTTGGAAAACAGCACGGAGGGCGGGCGGGGGGGGGGGGGGGGGGCAGGCGAGGGGGGCGGCCAGGCCGGGGAGGGGAGTGAGGAGGGTGATGGGTGTTGGACCCTAAGTGCTTGAGGCTTCATGGGTGAACTCCCTTTTCCTCCTCCCAGAGCCGCTTCCCATGCCCCTGCTGGCATCCCTAACTGAGTTCAAGTTCGTCCCTGACCTTGCCTTTGTGTTTTACCTCTCAATGTCTCAGCTCCCCAAGTCAGTGTTATGCTTATGTCAAAACTTTCCGGTAATTCTGAACTTGGTATCTGTACTGCTTTGTATTCGAAGTGCTGTGTATTTGTACCTGCTTCTCTATGACCTTTTTTCATTTTACTATAAAACAATGTTCTTTGCTCAAACGTAATACTGTGCTCCTAATATTCGGGATTCTGAAATACATCTACTCCTGGGCATCCATCCAATTACTTGACTCAGGCTTCAGTGGCCGTAGTTCCTAACACCCCAAAAGGGAGGCCCCGCCATGGGATGGACCCGGGGACAACAGCAAAGCTTGCATCAAAATGGGACATTTAGAGAGCATGAATGCATGGTCTTGATGCAAGCTGCTATGACTTAAGAGAAAGCCCCCCACCCCCCATGGGGAAAGACAAGCTGAACCATCCCAAGGACTGAGTCTGGGACTTACGGTAAAAGCCCTGCTTGCTCTCAGAGCCCAGAGAACGAAGTCTGGGGATCCTTGCCTCTGACTGAGTCTATCCAAACAACTGCAAGTTTTGATGACATATACAACTAGGGGGAAAGATAAAGCAAAGCCGACGTCCCTGGGAGACAAGAGTGTTTCCTTGCGCCACTCTCCCCAGAGAACTGCCTCTGCCAAATGTTCATCTCTGTAAATGACCATCACACCGATGTCCTTACCTCAAGCCCCTCAAATGTTCTATAAGCATGCTAGCACTTCTGCATTAAACAGGCCATTTTCATCATCAGGCTGTGGGGAGTGAAGACAGGTGAGGGGGAGGGCAGGTGAGGGGCAGGAAAGGCGAGGGGAATGAAGACAGGTGAGGACAGTGAGGGGAAGGTCGTCCTCACGTGTCAGAACAAAGCAGCCCCAGGGGATGCTCTAAGGGCCTCAGCAGCCCCCGTGTGAGTCAGCGCGCCAGTGAGGTTTGTCCGCACAGGACTGGGTGTGACAGGCCCCCGAGGCTGGGCATACCATCTGGCGGATGGAGCAGGCCATGGGGGAGCCCCCGAGAGACGCAGGTTCCCAAGGGCCAAGCCTACACGCCGACGGGCGAGGTCAGTGCGGCGCCGAGACCACCCAAAGTGAAGGCGCAGGCCTGCCCCGCGCGTGGAGTCCTGAGGGGCTGAGCAGGACTCAGGCCCAGAACCGTGGCTGGGAAGGGCCGGGAGAGGGGCAGGACTCGGGCATGGGCCCCGGGCACTGTCTTTTCCGAGCTGCCGAGCGCCGCAGACACGGGACAGGGCACTCACGGTGTGGGATGGCACCGAGTGGGGCTTGACGGTTGGGGTCCCCACAGACGTGACTTTGGTCTGCCTCTGCAGGTGTTCCACCCACTCGTGCAGGTCCTGCTGGCTGCCGCAGGACACCAGGATGCGCTCGATCATGCTCCCTGGGGGGACATGTGGTGAGCGCCCTGCCCCGCCCCGCCCCGCCCAGGCCAGCCGTCCCCTGCCGGGACCTGCAGGCACCTGATATCTCAAACGCATTCCGGTGATTCTCCCCGTCCTCGAGCTTCGTGACGGTCATTCCTGTGGTCGGCAGCTTCCCCTACAGAAGACCAGACCAAGAAACGGTGAACGGTCTAGGCGACGGCCCCTGGCCGCCCAAAATCCCTCCAGGCCACGCTGTTGGCCGGCATCAACCAAGGGTCTCGAACCCAGGGCGCCTCTCATGTACGCAATCAGGGCGGTCAGCTGGGCAGGCCAGGGCGGGAAGCGGGCAGTGGCCTCTCATAGGAAGTGCGGGAGCCTGGCTCGGAGCCACGGCAGCTGAGTGACCCCCAACCGGCAGGCAGCCTAGGAGCGGTCCCGTCCCAAGGCCTGGGCCGAGCCCCTGGACACGGGCTGTGGGCTGCGGGGCACAAGAACTGCACAGCACAGGTGAGGGACACACCCGATTGGAGAAACGTGCAATGTGAAGAGCGCACCCACGAGCACACGAGAGGAACACACAGCACACACCACACCTGAGGAGTACATGTGAAGAACACACCACACGTGAGGAACATGCCACGTGCGGACGGCACGAGAGGCGCAACGAGCACACGGCACACGTGAGAAGCAACACATGTGAGAAGCACACCATACCCATGAGGAGCACAAGCCGTACACGCATGGAGCACGCATGTGAGCACACCTCCGTGAGGAGCACATGCCACAGACACGGAGCAAACGTGAGAACGGGCGCCCGTGCCGCCGCACCTGGTAGATGAAGCCGCTCATGCGCGGGCTGGCGGACAGCATCAGCAGGATGTTGGGGAACAGCAGCAGGTACCGCTCGCTCTTCTCCTGGGGAGCAGACGAGCAGACAGCTCAGAGCCGCCCGCAGCTGTGGCGCCCGCCTGTGTGCTCGCCACGCCACCGGGGCCACGGACACAGCCCGGAAAGCGGTGACGTCGTCAGCTCGGCCCCGGGCCAACTCAGGATGTCTGCGATTTTATTTTCACGGGGAGCCCATCATTCGGGGCGGGGGCAGCGAGGGGCCCCGTCAGACCAGGGGGCGGTTCCCTTTCACCCACGACAACCCTGGCCCTTCCCTCATCCTCCATGGATGTCGCCGCATCATCCCCTTTCCTCAGCGGCAGAGGACACCAAGGGCCACCTGCAGGAGCCTGTGCACACGACCCCGTGGGCCTGCTGTGGGCCACTACGGGCTCCTGGGGCCTCCTGAGCGCCTCCTGTGTGGCACCTGGGGGCCTCTGTTGTATCCTGTGAGCCTCCTTTGAGTCTACTGTGGGCTCCTGTGAGTGTCCCATGGGTGTCCTGTGGGCCTCCCTCCCGTGGGCCTGCTGTGCTGCTCTCTGCCCACAGTGCTCCCTGTGCTGAAGGCCTGCAGGGACATGTATGGCGCCTGCCTGTGATGTCCCCCCTCGGGGTCTGTCCCAGCCGGGGTCTCCTTCCTGCTCCCACCCTCCACCTGCCCACGGCTCTGCCAGGCAGGGGTCCTGGTGCCCGTGGGAGCCGACCCGAGGAGATACCCCCGAGACTGATGCCAAGCTCAGCTCTGAGGGGACACCAGCAGTTGGGCCTGGACGTGAGCACACCCTGGCGTGTCCTTCCAAAGCCAGAATACGTTTAGTGACCCCTGCAGCCCGTCGAGCATGCAGACCGGTGCTCGGTGTGAGCCTGTGATGGCCTGCACACGCCAGCACACGCGCCCAGGGAGTCCCAAAAACATACGCTGATCAGGACCGCAGAGAGAAACGGCCTGTGGAAGCCTCGGGAGACAGCCCTTAGCCGGCGGCACGTCTGCTCCGCATGGGCCTTGGGGAGTGCCGGGCCAGTCCCCGCTGAGGGTGAGCTCCCTGACCTGCGGTGGGCCAAGGCCGAGGCAGACAACACACTGTCAACATCTGGTGGAGTGCTCCGGCAGTCAGGAGTCCAGACGGGCCTGACCCTGCGGCACACAACAGCCACAGCCCGTCCCCGCACGCCGGGACCCAGGAGATGCCAGGGCAGGGACGGTACCTCGCTGCCGGCACACTGGATCAGGACCTGGGACATGTGGATGACGCTGCCCAGGGTCTTGATGTCGTCCCCCTCCCAGCTGCGGATGGCCTCAGTCAGGATCTGCAGCTCCAGCTCCTTCCTCTTCCGCACCTCCTGGCACTGCGCCTGCGGGTGAGAGCACTGTGAGGAGACGCAGCCCGGCGGGCTGGAGCCGCGGGACAAAGGGCCTGAACGGCCAGCACCGAGGCGAGAAGCTGGAGCGCTCCACCTCTCGGCGGGCACGTGGGGGTCCATCCTCCTGCGGGCACTGAGCCCACCGAGCGCTCTGGGGGCAGTGGGCAGAGCACAGAGCCTGTGGGGCCCAGAGAACGAAGGTGATCCCAGCCCCGTCCAGCCCTGTCTGGGCCACGGCACCCACCGAGAGGGCTTTGAAGCTGGCCATGGACCTCTGGATGTCTGCCTTGTCCGGATGATAGTCCTGCAAAGAGAGGGCCAGCGGTCAGCTCAAGGGCCCTGATCCCCGGGTCCTCCCCGGCATTAAGGTGACGCTTCTCACCCTCTCCCTGAGGGAACTAGGGCCAACAGACTCAGTGACAGTCCAGAAGAGCAGCATGAAGAACTTTCATCTGTAGACTGAACCACACTCCTGCACACAGACACCAACTGACCCACAGACATGCCCGCATACACGGGCACACGTGCACACATCTATACACCCCAAAGACACATGCCTGTACACTCCACATGTACATACACATCTGCACACCCCACGTGCATATGTATGTACACCCCATGTACGCATGCACCGGGACACCCACACGTATGCACATGTCTATACACCCCCACAGAGTACATGCCTGTACACCCCCCATGTGTACGTATGCCTACACACCCCCATGCAGATACACATCTCTATACAGCCCCACATGTACACACAGCTACACGCCACCTGCATACACACCTGTGCACAGCCCCGATCGTGCACACACAGACGCCTACTTACATATGGCTGCACACAGCCCTGCGCTCCCCCCAACATGCTCATACACATGCTTGACATAAAGGCATCCAGACAAGACACCCCCCACATGTACACTCCCACGGCATCCACACACGAACCTAGTCCCAAATACACGCGTACCATACCTGCTCACAAACAGGTACCCACAAATCCAACCTGCCTGTGCACACATACACGTGTGTACTCACACAAGCACACAGGCTGGTATCGAGTGCACACACAAATCAACGTGCATCGTGTTCATGACACACACCAGCATCCAGGGTGCCCACAACGAAACAGTCATGTGTGCGTACACGTGTCATGCCCACGCGTACACAAGCCTGCCCCTCCCCAGACTCACATACATGCACGCACACGCATGCACACACCCCAGAGCCCGAGGCCAAGGCAGTGGCTGACCGCCCCCCCCCCCCCCCGCGACACCCACAGGCACCCAGATTCAGCTCTCTGAGCAAGCACGCCCTGGAGCCAGTACCTCCATGTGTCTCTCGAGCTCTTTGAGCAGCGCTGGGTACTTGTCCAGGCGCATGAAGGGCTTGCTCAGGCCGGTGGTCAGCACCAGGATCCCGGGGCTGCTGGCCCCCGCCAGCTCCATGAACTCCCCCAGCTCCTCACTGTGTGGGAGAAAGGGGGACGCGTGAGCATCCTGCACCTGCCAGCAACCCCAGTGCAGAGCACGCCAAGGCCCGCGGGCCCGGCCGGCCCTACACGCCAGCGCAGGCTCCACCAATGGACTCCTGCAGAACAGCGCCGATACGGACCGGGGGTCTGCGAGCACTGGAGGGACCAAATGTCCCAGAACCGCCTACCCAGACCCTGACAGGGCAGCGAGAGGGGCACGTGGGCAGCAGGAAGGGCACGGAAGCAGCTTCCTCATCACTGCACACCTCAGGGTCCCCCCGTGCTGCCATGAGCTCAGATGCAGAGCCACAACAGTTGCTGTCATGCACGTGTGTGTGCACGTGCGTGCACGAATGACCGTGTGTGTGTGTGTGTGTGAGAGAGAGAGAGAGAGAGGGTCAGACCTGGCAGTGCGCAGAAATCACTCCTGGCTCTGTGCTCAGGCCTCAATAACAGCTCTGCTGGGGCTGCCTCCCGGCTCTGTGCTCGGGGCTGACTCCTGGCGCTGTGCTCAAGACTTACTCCCAGTTCTGTGCTCAAGGCTGCCTCCCAGCTCTGTGCTCGGGGCTGCCTCCCAGCTCTGTGCTCAATAACAGCTCACTCCTGCCTCTCTGTCCGTGCTTACCCAACTCAGGACAGCACTGTGACGCCAGGGACGGCAACGAGGTGGACCACGTGCCGGGCAAGCAGGCCACCTCTTGGGCCCCACACGTCTTTCCCACGTGCCCGCGTCTCCACACACAGGGCCATGCGTGTGCCTGACCCTGTGCAGTTCCTCTCCGCTCTCGGGCAGCGGGCACCGCCCCACCCCACTGCCCCTTGCTGGGCTGCAAGCTGCAGGGTCAGGTAGGCCTGGGGCTCCCAGACCTGAGGGCCCTCAGCATGGGGCAGTGCTGCAGGTCGCGGCTGTGGGGCTGCAGACATAGGGACACTGAAGCATGGCCACCATGCCGCGGGCAGGGAGAGCCGGCACGGCTCCGACAACAGCCTGTACAGCTGATGTGCGCTGCAGCCAGGGCCCAGCGCCGAGAACATCAGCCCGTGCGTCACCTGAGTCTGCCAGCAACAAGGGGGTGATGCCCCCATCTCGAGTGAGGCACGACCCAGGGGCCTCCAGCGCGGCCCAGGCAGCACACCCGACGAACGCGCAGCGCCCGGACAGGCCCCGGGGCACCTGCCTGCCCAGGACAACTGCCTGCCCATCACCTGCGGGAGCGCTGTGGCCGGGCACCCGGGGTCCCAGGGCGAGCTGCAGGCGACGCACCTGTGCTCCGTGAGGACGTTCACTGCGGACGGGTGGTTGGCACAGTACGCGAGGTACAAGGTCTTCATCTGCGGCATCAGGCTCAGGAAGCAGCCGCCAACCCTCTGCTGCGCTTCGGGCGACCTACGGCACAAGGACGGGCAGGGAGCTGGGTGAGACGCGAGGGAGGGAGCACGGAGAGCCCCAGCGGGAGCACACGCAGGCCCCAGGGAGCACTCATCTGACCTGGGGGTTTGGTGCGCCCGCCCCCCCCTTCCTTTCGCCTTCCTGCCCCCTCAGCTCTCCCTGCTGGGACTCGGGCCGGAGCCTGCTCACACCGGTCGGCTGCAGCTCAGGAGGAGCAGACGTGTGCGGGGCCCGCTCCCACACAGCTGCTCACGGGCCAGAACAGACACGCCCGTCTCCCAGCACCAGAGGTCTGGGGACAGCCCCCAAGCACTGCCCGGCCCAGTCCTGCCCCTGCCCTGCCTCGGGGGCCCGAGGACCTGGGCCTGCCCACTGCCTCAGCGCTCACACGCGCAGGCCCCGGCCCGGACCTGACAGGGAGCACCTGTGCCGGAGTGGGGACGGGGACATCGTCTACCACGCTGAGGCCATCCCTGCACAGGAGCCAGCACACAGCCCCCATGTGGGGGTGACTGGTACCGCCACTCCCCCCGCACCCCGAGACTCTGAGCCCAAGCGGCTGCCCCGGCAAGGGCGAGAGTCGGCGGGGGCCGTGTCCAGCACCGCTCAGGACAGGTGGGCTCATCCTGGTGAACACACACGCACACATGCACATACACACACGCATGCACACATACACACGTGGCAGACACGTACACACACGCATGTGCGTGCATCACGGCCCACTCACTTGGTGCACTCCTCCAGGGACTGGACCAGCAGCAGCTGGAAGGCAGAGATCTCCTCCAGGTTCCCCGTCAGGGCAGACATGTTGGCCGGACTCAACCTGGGGAGGAGACCGTGAGCCGGGCGGCCCGCTCCGCCCCGCCCCCCACGGCCCCGAGCGCCCCCGCTGCCCCTCACTCACTTCTCACTGTTCTGCAGTGGCCGCAGGTAGGTGGCGAGCACGGTCTGAAGTTCCTTAGAATATTCATTCTCTGTTTCCAGAATATTCTGTAGCACCTACAGCAGAAAGACACAGCTGTGGCGCAGCCCCTCTTGGACCTTCATCCAGCAGAGTCCTCAGCTCCACCCTGCCTGCCCCGCGGGTCCCACCAAGTCTCCCGCTGCCCGAGGGCCCCAGAATGGGCGACAAGGGCCACACACAGGTGCAGGTGCGATAGGGAAGCCCGGGCTGGTCCATCTCCTCTCTGTATGCGTGCGCACACACACACGCACATGCACGCACGCACACACACAGCAGGGGACGGGGCAGTGCGATACACGTCAGCTTGGCAGGCGGCCTGAGGGGAGAGCACCGAGTGGGGGCCGCCAGGCCCTGCACAGCAGCACCTCTGGGCACCAGCCCCCAGACCGAAGGCGCCCTCCCGCTCCGGGGGACAGCTGGCCAGGCTGGTGCCTGGGAAAGGCCCAGAGGAGAGAGACGGGCTCCAGGGGTTGGCGAACTCGGGTCCGAGGACTGCTCCGGCCCAGCACCAACAGAGCGACACTGCGCCTTCCCCACAGCCGGGGCTGGGCAGGAGACAGCAGATCACGCCCTGTGGGTGCCCGCAGAGCTGGGGGCCCGCCCAGTCCTCCCAGACATGCTCTACGGCATGACGGTCCCCTCGGGTCCCCTGGACTCCTGAGCGCCGGCCATGAATGGGCCAATTCACACAGCGCGAAGGGAGGGGCACCCAGTCACTCTGGCGGGGAAACCAGGCGGATGGCGAGATGCCGGCTTCCTTCCAGGACACCCCCACCGACACACCAGGGACCAGGTGGCAGTGAGAAGGCCACCCGCAACTACCCACCCGGCGGGGGGCACAGCCCTCACCTGCCTGGCCCTTCTCCCCGGGCGCCGGCTCCGGCTGCTGCAGGCTCCCATGGGCGAGCGCGCCCGACCGCGTCAGGAGCAGCCAACAATGGGCCGCTCAGAGAGAGAGCACGGGCCCACGGCTGACGGCACGGCCTGGCACCCGGGAGCCCCAGGCCGCGGGGGCAGGACGCACCCCTCGGGGGCTGGCCCGGGGAGGCAGCCAGGCGGAGACCATCGCCGTCCCCGAGGCTGGCCCCTTCCAGCCCACCACGCCGCCGGGCACCTGCCCTGGGGATTCGGGGCCACCTCGCATCTCACGAACAACCGCAGGGAATCTCGCTCTGGGCGACCTGCCAGGCGGGGGACGCCCTTGGCCGAGACAGCCGCTGACTCGGCAGAGAGCAGCTCAGCACCCTCGCGTCCCACCCACACACGGCTTCAGCACACGCAGCACGGCCACGGGTGCCGGCCAGCCCGGCGGCATCCGCTGCAGCCCCCGGCCTGCACCCTCACGGCTGAGTGCCCCCGTGACCACAGGCAGCACCCCGAGCTCTCCACCCCCTCACAGCTGAGTCTCTGCATTTGTGCCCTGGGTGCTAAGCTGAAGCCAGCACGTGGGCTCGGGGGGAAACTGAGGCGGCAGAGTTGTAGGCACGGGTGGAGCCGTGAGGAAGGGGGCAATGGGGGGCTGAGAAGGGGATGGGCTGCAGGAAGCAGGGCGTGAGGGGCGGGGCCCCGAGTGGGGACGGAAGGGCCTCCCGGCTGTCACCCGGCCGGGCACCGCAGGCCCCACTGATTTCCCAAGGGACAAGCACGCCCCGCTGCTGCCCGCTATGGGCACCGAGAGCCAGGCACAGGCCGAGAGGCAGAGCAGTGAGGCAGTGAGGAAGGCGCCCACACTCAGGGCGTCTCGGCCCTGCCACCTGCCCCGCTCAGGGCAGCACGGTGACCGGGTGCACCGTCTTGGCACCGGGGACGTGCCCTGTGCGCAGCTACTCTGCGAGCCCCCGCCCCGCAGGGACGGGCCAGAATCGAAAGCTCCATCCCGAGACCAAGGGGCCGGTGCTGCCCCACGACAGCACCAGATGTTGCTCAGGCGCGGCTCTCCGGCCGCCAGCCTCTCCGCTCAGGCACACGGGGATGGTGGGAAGGGCAGGGACAGACCCGAGTGCCGAGGGCGGCTGGCGCGGCCGGAGAGGGGACGGACAGAGGCGCCACATGGCCCAGGCTACTCACCACGTTGTAATAGCTTTTGTTAATGGCGGTTGTGTCGAAGCCTTTGGGGGGGCTCTTCAGGGACCCGGACTTGGGCGACACGGGCTTTTCTGGAACAAAAAGGCCACCTTCACCCTGGACGCCAGGACACCCCACTACACCAACCCCCAGGGCACGAAGGAGGCACCCCAGCAGGGGGACCACCCCACCCCCCACCCCGCGGCAGGCTGAACCCGGGAGGTGGTGGCCATCACGGAGACAGGACACCCTATAGGACCCACGGGCCAGACGGTCACCCACAAAGGTAGGAGTGAGACAGCCACCGAGTGCCCAGCACTCTGCCCACAGCCCTCACACCAGAGACACCCCCGGGCATTGGCCACGCGGCCACAGACTCGGAACAGCGGGTCTTGGCACACACGCCTCCACGGGAGCCACCACTCAGACGCGACACGGCAGGACGGCCGTCGCATGGGCGCATGGACAGGCGCGCGTCTACCGCAGGGACCGCTGCTCTGAGGTTGGGCGGACAGCCCTGTCTAGGGGAGAGTGTGCGTGTGTATGCATCCGTGTGTGTGTGCATGTGTGTCCGTGTGTGTATGTGCATGTGTGTACCTGACCGCTAGGAATGCTCTGAGGGTGGGCTGTCTGCTATCTGTCTAGGGAAGAGCGTGCGTGTGTGTATCCGTGTGTGTGTGTGCGCGCGCGCGCGTAGGTGTGCGTCTAACTGCCGGAAATGCTCTGAGGGTGGCAGATAGCCTGGTCTGAGGGAGAGCATGTGTGTCCGTGTGTGTATGTGCGTTTGTGTATCTGACCGCTAGGAATGCTCTGAGGGTGGGCAGATAGCCCTGTCTAGGGGAGAGCGTGCGTGTGTATCTGTGTGTGTGTGTGTGTGTGTGTGTGCGCGCGCATGTGTGCGACTAACCATCGGAAATACTCTAAGGGTGGGCAGATAGCCCGGTCTGGGGGAGAGCATGTGTGTCTGTGATTGTGCATGTGTGTGTTCATGCGAGTGTGTGTGTGTGTGTGTGTGTGTGTGTCTAGCCGCAAGAATCACTGCTTTGGGGGGAGGGGGATGGCCCTGCCTACTGGGGATATTCACATGGATGGATGAACAGATGGATGGATGAATGAGGGACTGCCAGACAGATGGACGAGGGGATACGAATCAACAGGCGGACATGTTGACAGATGGACAGATGAGTGGGATGAGGTTGCGGGATGAAGAGATGGACAGATGGAAGATACAGGGTTGCCAGGTAGACAGACGGACAAATAGTAGATAGGGAGATGCTGGGTGGACAGACAGTGGACATGGGGTTACCGGGTGGACAGACAAACGGACACAGACAATACAGGATTGCTGGGTGGACAGACGGACACACAGGACACACGGGATTGCTGGGGGGACAGTGGATATGGGGTTCTCGGGTGGACAGATGGACGAGCTGTAGATATGGGGCTGTGGGGCGGGCAGACGGACAGATGGTGGGCACGGGGCTGCGGGGCGGACAGTGCATCCGGAGACGTGGAGCTGCAGGGGGAAGCCCCCGGTGCCACATGGGTGCCTCTGCAGGGTGGCTGTGGCCACTCTCGGGCCCAGGGAGCAGCTGACCTGGTCCCAATGGCTGCATATTTCTGGGGTGTTGCCCCAGGGCTCCTCTCAAACCAGTCGGAACATCCTGGGAGACTTCTGGCCCCCTAGGGCTAGCTGAGCTCTGGGAGTATCCTTCAGGTGGGGAGGCCCCAAGGACCCCGATAACTTGGGGGCGGGGGTGCTCGTGGACCGGACAGCAGCAGTGTTGTGTGCAGGACCCTGGGCCAATCCTGACAGTGACCGATACAGTGACCTGAGCTCCACAGGGAAGCCCCAAAGAGAGACAAGCAGATGCTCGGGCTGCGGCCACTCGGGCTGCGGCCGTGGCCTGTGGCCCTCCAGGTCCCAGACAGGCCCCACGTGGACCCACACCCGGTGCTCAGCGGCACAGAGGCAAGGCTACATCATCCCGGGTAGCCAATGACACTGACCGCCACCCTCCCACTCCACCACTCAGCCGCCTCGTGCCCGAGCTTCCCCCGGCCGCACACCCCAGACTGGAAACTGAGGGGCCGCCCCCCAGGCCCCGACACCCACCCCCACAGGCCCACCCCGGGGCCCGACACCCGCACCAGCAGCGCTCACCGCTTGGCTTGACCTCGCGCACGTAGTTGCTGGGGAACCAGCCGGTGCGGCCACCATGCGTGCCCTCCCACCAGCCTCCTTCCTCCACACGCGTGACGTGGATGACATCCCCCTTGGAGAAGGACAGCTCGTCCTCATTGGTCTGCTGGAAGCTGAACTTGGCTCTCACGACCAGCTGGCTGCCACCGGCCTCGCTCATGTCCTGCGGGGAGAGAAAGGCCACGGCGTCAGCCAGTGACATGCGGCCCCGGCACATGCGGGCACACGGGCAGTAACACAGGCACACGTGAGTAGACATGCATGCGCACACGGCAGCACGGCGGGAGCAGGGGATAAAGGCCTGCGCGCCCAGCACTGCAGGACCAGCCGCAGAGGAGGGGCAGGGGGAGGAGGGGCAGGAGCAACAGGTGACAGGCCCGAGCTCTGAGCACGGCGGGTAGGCCAGCTGCCCCTACGGAGGGCTCTGCCGTCGTACCCTGGGAGGCCGCGGGCCAAGCCTGCCTCTGTCACGCTCCCAGGGTTTCAGAGAGCAGCAGAAACCCCAGGGGACAGAAGGCCACCACCTCGCAGCCTGTACCTGGACACTGCTGACAGCAGGCAGCTACCCAGAGGACACGGCATTCCTGCCTCGCCCAGAGCCGCACACTCACCGCCCCATCGGTCAGGAGCTTATTCTCTAACCACCTGACCAGCTCCAGGACACACCCAGCAGCCGGAGCCCCCCCACCCTGCAGCGGCCGCCTGTGCCCCACAGACCCCTCTGAGCGGCAGACAGGGACCAACTGGGCTCCAGGCCTGGAGTAAGGAGGAAGCGCCCCCCAGCAAGGAGCTGACAATATGTGGAGACCTGCAGGAAGCTCCCAGCATCCGCCTCGGACAAACACGGCGGCCAACAGCTGCACCGGGCAGGAAGGGAGTCCTGGGGCCCGCGCAGACGGGCACAGGCCAGCCAGCGGCTCCTCAAAGCTCAGCAGGGGCATTCGAGGGGCCCTGCCACACACACAAAGTGGCGGGGCCCCACGGCCCACCCGCGCCTGCCAGCCACACCAGCCTCCCCGGGACAGCGGGGGCACACAAGCACACTAGGGCAAGCTGAACACTCGCACACACAAACACACAGAGACACGCACACACATATGCACACAGACACGCGACACAGACACACAGAAATGCACACACACAGACATGCAGACACACGCAAACACGCACAAAGACATACACACAGACACGCACACGTGCACACAAACTAATATGCACTCGAACTAACATACATGCACACAGACACGCATACAGCAGACATGCACAGACACACAAGTACACAGATAAGCAGACACATAGACTTATACGTAGACACTTTAGACATGCGGACATATTTGAGACACATACATGCACAGACACAAAGACATGAACACACAGACACACAACACACACACAGACATGCACACAGACACAAGCACACACTCGTGAACACAAAGACACAAGACACATACACAAAAATAAGAAATACTCAGCAGTAGGCTCTGAACATGCAGAGACAGACACACAGCAGAAACACAGACAGACACGCAGAAGCAAACACACCAGACACAGACTCGCAGGGGAGCGCTCCTCCCACGGGTTGTGGCAAGCACCCCAGACAGGCGGGCACGTCCCCTCCCAGCATCCCGCGTCCCACCCTGGGAGGATGCGGTGCTTCCCGGGTGGCCCGTCCCTTGGCGAAGCAGACACACCCATCACCAGTGTCCGGCAGACACAGGCCGGCCCTACATGAGCGTGTGTAGGGGCGGGGCCCAGTCCCTCCCCGCAGAGCACCAGGCTCCCTGACCCGGGTGGCACATGCGGCCAGACAGACAAGGCTCAGGGTCACACCCCAGACACAGATCCCAGCCAAATAAGACTGGCCACTCCCACCCCCGTGCCCAGTGCCCAGTCACTCTCGAAGCTCAGTGACAGCCATGCCCCGGGGACCGTGGGGACCCTCCCCCGACAGTCCCTCCTCCCTGTGCACCAACAGCAGAGTGGGCGCAGCCCGGGCAAGACCGGGTCGGCTCTCCAACAGCGCCTGGCACAGCCAGGGCCAATGCAGCCCCCACGGCGCCAGCATCTCCCGCCAGCACCCCCAGACTCACCAAGCTGCGGTACTGGCCCTGGAAGAGTCGGGAAGTCCGGCTGTGCGGGGGCTGTGAGCCCAGGGAGTCGAAGGACTTGATGCGGTGGGCCGAGGGCCGGGCGCACACCGAGTCGCTCCCCAGGCCGATGTCTGTGAAGGTGGGGCGGCATGAGCCGGGACGCGGCCACAAAGCGCCTTTCATGCGGCGAACAGAGACGGTCTGTCCTCGGCATACAGGCCCCACGCCCCCGACAGCAGACGGCGCTAACACGGGGACCCTCGGTGCCCGCCCCTGCCCTGGGGAAGAAAGGCCACGCCCCCCACGGGGGTCTGTCCCGCCCACAGTGGGGAAGGAGGCCGCACCAGACCGGCCGTGCATGCAGGTGGACACAGCCCAGTGGCCAGCTCCTGTGTCCAGCACGGGGCACCCAAGCCGCATCCCCCCACCCCCCATTTACCTGCAGTGACTTTATTGAGGGTCACTAAGGAACTGAGAACCTTGTTAAAGTTCTGCCCCTGGTACAGGTCATTGGCATCGAACGTCTGAAAGACACAATCCGACAAGCCGCGTCAGCAGAGGCCTGGCCAGAGCTCGCGGCTGCACAGGAGCAGACGGTGAGTCCAGAGCCCACGCACACGTTCACCAGGGCAGACACCCTGACCGTGGGCGCTGGGCGCTGAGGGTCTGCACGCGGGACCCGGGCGGGGACAGGCACAGGGACAGATGAACACAGCCGACCCCCAGCCGCTCCCTGGACGTGGCGGGGGTGGGGCAGAACCAAGAGCCGGCTGACCCGGGGCTGAATGCCGGGGCCGCGGGTGGCTGTCCGAGGTCACGAGTCCGAGGTCCAGCGTCCCCTGCACGCACACCCCAGGCAGCCAGGGGACACTGAGCGAGGCCAGTCCTGCGGGGACTGCCCAGCCTGCCCAGGCCCAAGCCCCGAGCCCCAGCCAGCCATCGTCCGCATCACCGGGGGTTAAAGGACTCAAGCCTCATCGGCCCCCTCGTCCCCGACTCCCGCTTCTGACTGAGCTAGAAAATGAGGGTCCCGACCCCCCAGAGAGGGCACGGCCGAGCGCACTCACCTTCATGGTGGCAGCGCCAAGCCGGGCCTGGAGGATGAGTGGCCACCAGGGACGGGAAGCCACACTTCCTGTTGTTCCCAAGCCGCCGCCCCCAGTGCACTCCAGGAAGCGGGGGTGGGGCCAGGGGGCAGCAGCAGAGCCCATGGCCCGCACGGGCAGAGGGGCAGACGTAGGTCACCTGCCCTGGGAGTGCCCGCGACCAGCCCCGCCCAGATACTATCAGGGATGGATCAGGCTGCAGGGGCGGGGACGCAGGGCCCACCCACACGGCCTTCATGGGAAACCGAGTCCAGAGGCTTCAGCGGCGCAGGCCCACTGCCTGCCGGTCGGGCACCAGCACCCGTCCCTGACCCCCGCCACTGCTGGAGGCGGCGCCAATCCCTGTCCGTGACAGGGCACAGAGGCAGGATCCCTCCCCAGCCGCTGCTGTCCTTCCCCCATGCCCTCGGCAGGGAGGGTGCAGGCCGGACCCTGGGCCACGGGGAGGTGGAGATGCTTCCCCACCCTCCAGACCTCACGGGCCGGGGGCCAGTCATCCCGCCCTGACTCACTGCAGCTGGAACGTTCCGCCCCTCTGCCAGGCTCCTGGAGGGCTATTTTCGACCCAAGAAAGCGTTACTTTGCACACACTTCTGCAGTGTGGCTCACAGCCTTTAAAAATACACTTTTGTCCCGTCCCTCTGCTAGCCAGGACCTGGCTCCTGATGGTGTCCTCATGCCCGTCCTAGGTAGACGCTCCATCGCTGGGGACATGGGCGACCCCCAGGAGGCCCCTCCCCTTCCTCACCCAGTGAACACTGCCGGCCCGTTGCTCCCACAAACCAGCACGCCAGGCCCCGACAGTGACAGAACAGGGCCGACTCAGACCATCTGACCACAGCCCCACTCTGGGGGGGTGCCAGGCAAGCAAGCACACGTGCGTGTGCATGTGCATGTGCGAGCTCACAGACAGGCATGCACGTACATACACGTAGACGTGCACACGCATCCTGATGCACGCACACACTTGCAGGTACCCGTGCACACACGCACACATGCAGATGCGCACACGCAGGTACGCACGCACACACGTGCAGATAAGCTCTCGTGCAGGCATGCAGGGCAGGGAGGGCCGAGGCAGTGGCTGGCGCCCAGCAGTCCCCCAGGACGGGGTGTGGGAGGTGCCAGTGAGGAGCCAGGAGCAGCAGCCATGGGACCCACACACCTGGGCCCCGAAAGGAAAAGGGCGGGGCCCGCAGCCAGCCCAGCCCAGCGCCACCGGCGGGCACCCAAGCACAGAGCCGGGAGCAGGCCCCGAGCACTGACAGGGCACTGCCAAGTGCTGAGCAAGGTGGCCAGGGCAGGGGTGGCGCCCATGCCGTGGTCTGCGGCTCCCCACCCAGATCTACTTTCTCAACGCCGAGCGCCCAAGGCCACGAGGCCGCCACACCCCTGGGGCACCCCACACCCTCCACAGACTCTTCTAGAAGCAGGCGCCACCTGACCCACGCACCCGCACCCCTCCTCCCGGGGCCTCCCTGCGCCTGCCCGGGGCAGCAAGTGCCTGGGCACCGTCCTGAGGCTGCTGGGTGTTGCAGGGACACCAGGACCGGCCCCAGCTAGTCCTGCTCACTGACCGGCAGCGCTGCAGGGCAGTGGCACCAACGTCATGGCACGTGGACACCCACCCTGCTCCGCTCCCGGGGGCCCGGTGCCCCTGGCCTTGGGCTGCGAGAGCAGGCATTCACCCCTGACCCCAACAGGCATGACTCAGGTGGGGTCACCAGGAAGAGGTCACGTTCCCAGCGGGCTGGGCCCACAGTGTGGGTACCCAGAGCCCCAATGGGGAGGGCCTGGGTCTGTTAGGATGGAGACCCTCGCCAGGTGCAGCAGTGCCGGCCCGATCCAGGGCCCCTGAGCACCACGGCAACGGTGCAGGGGGTCCCACACCGCTCAGTCTAAACCCCAACCCCCAGCCAGCACCTCGTCCGGGAACTGCCCGCCCAGCCATCGCCCCCAATGTGCCAGTCTAACTTCTCGAACCAGGTGTGAGGACCCCCAGCATCGCTGCCCGCTCCACCCCTCCCAGCAAACCTTTAAAGCCTCCAACCCCAAAACCGCGTGCCGCGACAGTGTTCGTGTGAAGAAGTTACCTCATTCATCTACACCCCTCACCTGAGGTGCTAGCCAGTCCAGGCCTCACTTTCTTTACCTCTCCATAACCCACAGTAACACACAAAGACAGCCCCACTGCAGGGGCCAAAACATACAACACCCAGGGAAAAACGACAAACGCACAGGGCGCGCAGAAACTCACCGGGCTGGGGGAAGCCGCCAGCCCCGAGAGCCAAGCAGTGACAACGCGCCACACGACCCCTCAGACAAGGAACGCAGAAGGGGCTGTGAAGGGTGCGCCAGGCGCTCAAAGAAGGAATCGGACGCACTGTGGGTAAGACACAAGAGGCCGTGAGGGCAGAAGTGAGAGCATGCAATGAAAACACAGGCAGAAATGGCAGCCCCAGAAATCCTGGCCGGGGGAACGAAAGCAGCGGAAGGCCCCAGCAGAGCAACAGCCGCGAGGGCAGAACCAGGGAGCTCAAGGGAGGTGCAGAGACAGCCAGGAACCGCAGGGAACGGAAAAGAGCCCCAGAAGGAGCCAACAGATGGAAGAGAAAGCCAGGATGAAGCCAGTCACGTCAGAATCCCTGGAGCCCCAGAGGGACAGGAAGAAAACCCTGATGGGGAAACTGCCAGACAAGGCTGCTGAGAGGGTCCCAGAGCCGAGCAGGCCGAGGGGGACCAGCTAGACCAGAAATACTCCAAGACACATCCTGATCATCAAAGGAGCATCCTTCAGATTCACAGCAGACTTACCTGACGGAACGCTCTGGGCCCGAAGGCAGTGGGGAGATTTAGTTTTAAAAAAAACCCAAAAAACTCCATGAACTGAATGCCTCACCAAGAATAGCCAGCTAGACTCATTCACACTTGACGGAACACACAGCTTCACAGACAAACAACTCAGAACTTCAAAGACTCAAAATCATTAGTTACAAGAACAACTAAACGGGTGACTTTAAGACTAGACAAGCCCCTCAAACACACCAAACTCCTGCAGACATGGGACTAAACCCTTAACAGTAATCTCTCTCAGTGTCAATGGGCTAAACGCACCAGAGTGACAGGATGGATCCGAAAACTGAACCAACATCCTGCTGCCTGCAAGAAACACATCTGCACAGTCAGCAAACACAGACTCGGAGTCAAAGGCTGGAGAACAATTCCACAAGCAAACAACTCCCTCAAAAAAGCTGGGTGACCAGGGGGTCTGGTGCCGCCAGCAGGTCGACCTGTGCCTGCGGGGCGAGTGCATCGGCAGCCTGATGGGGCCTTCAGGCTTCTGATACCCCAAATTGCCGCTGTGCCTATGGCCAAACCCCAACGACTAGGGGCCAAGTTTACCAAGAAATGAAGCGGCCAGAAGTGAGGTATGTGGGAGCCACCCACAAGCCACCTCTGGCTCAGCTATACAAGCTCATTTATTGGCCTAATTTCAGAGACCCATAAATCTCCTAAGAGATCAAAAGACACAGATAGGGCCGGGAGTGCAGAGGTAAGCGGGAACCCGGGACTGAGATCTCCAAGCCCACGTGGATCAGGACTGGGCCTCCTCCCCACAAGTCCCCAGTTTTCCAGTAGCTTGGCAGTCACATCCGCAAACTGCTCTGGCGTCATATAATCTCATCAGTGGTCAAAACCCAGAGACTATAAACTAAAGCTCACAGAGAGAACAACACAGAATGTCCTGGATATTATATTCTATCCTTAACAAGCAGTACAAGACAAATTGTCCAGCACTGCCTTTCCAGCAGGTTTGAGTGGTTGTGGGACTGGTGTCAACATACTGAACATAACCAAAGTAGAGAATATGGGGGAAACTGTCTGCCACACAGGCAGGGGAAAGGTTGGAACGGGGGGTGGGGGGATGTGAATACTGGGGATCTGGGTGGTGGAAAATGTGCACTGGTGAAGGGATGGGTGTTTGATGAGTGTATGACCGAAGCTCAGACAGGGAAGCTTTATAACTGCATCTCACGGTAATTGATAAAAAAGGGGGGGGGGATAAAATAAAATTAACATTCAGAATAAAAAAAAAGTAATGTGAAGTTCATGCCCAATTCAATCAGCTTAATCAATAGCTGAACAAACAGCAGTACTCCTACACTATTAAAAAAAAGATCATATCAATAGACGCAGAGAAGACATTTGACAAGATCCAGCATCCATGGGTTTTATGATAAAAACCCTCAGCAAAATGGGAGTTGAAGGAACTTGCCTCAGGTCAGCTGCATGGAAGGCAAACGCCCTACCTGTTGTGCTCTCACTCCAGGTCCCAAGGGACACTCCTCAACATAGTCAAAGCCACCTGCCACAAGCCCCCAGCAAGCATCATTCTCAATTCCCCTTGAAATCAGGAA